TCTCCTCCCCTTTCCTCTTCTCCACTTCCCTCTCCTTCCCTTTCTTCTACTATTCTCCTCCCACCTACTTCCCTCTCTCCTTTCCCTTCTCTCCTTCCCTCTTCTGACTCCTTCTTTCTTCTCTTCCCTCGACCTTTCTCCCCTCCTCTCCTCCACACCACTCCCTTTCCCTCTCTCCTTTCATCTCTCCATTTCTCTTTCTTTCCATCTTTTTCTTTTCATCGTTGTATATAAGAAGAGGGAAGTGGAGGGGAGGGGAGGAGAGGAGAAGGAAGGAGAGGGAAAGAGATGAAAAGAGATAGACTGTCAATGTAAAATTGAAAATATGATGTATGGTAAAGGAAAATGACTAATAAAAAGATTTTTTAAAGAAGTAGCCTGCAATACTGCACTCTAACCACTGTGCCACCATGGTTCATGCACTCTCTGAGGAAGAAGTGGATGTATCTGGATGTACATATATACATCTACAGCTAAAAGCTATAGACAGCAGTTCTGTAGCTTCTACAGTAGATGCGGTGGATAAAAATGTTCATGTACTGTAGGTGATGACCAGGCTGAGCCTGAGGAAGGGGTCAAGTGCATCATCAGTCTCGAATCCCTTCATGTCCACAAGAGATCCAAGTCCAGCCCACCTTGAATTCTGTTGACTCCTATCTACCACCAATTTGCTTTGACCGTTAGTAATTCAGATTCTTGTAGAGAGTGTTGGCATGCAATAACCCTGTATTCAATTGAACTGCCCTGATTCCTGATTTCCTGCACATGACAGTTCATGAACCAATGGTCAAAAGAGCTTCACAATGTTATTTGCTTTTATTTTATTTATTTCCCACCGTTATTATTTTTTTGCCAATAACTCAAGGTGGCAAACGTACCCAACATTCTTTTCTCCTCCTATTTTCACTACAACCACCACCCTGTGATGTGGGTTGGGCTGAAAGAAAGGGACTGGCCTGAAGACACCCAGCTGACTTTCATGCCTAAGGCAGGACTAGAACTCGTGATCTTCTGATGATTGACCCAAAGTCACCAACCCAGTTTTCAGGCTTAAAGCAAGACTTGAATTCACCATCTCTTGCCTTTTTAGTCCACTAGACCAAGGGTCTCCAACCTTGACAACTTTAAGACTTGTGGACTTCAACTCCCAGAATTTCTCAACCAGCTTTGCAGGCTGAGGAATTCTGGGAGTTGAAGTCCACAAGTCTTAAAGTTGCTAAGGTTGGAGACCTCTGCACTAGACCAACCTGGCTCTTACTGCTAGAAGTCTGATCTAAGGAGCCTCATTGCAAAATATGGAACCTTCATATTACGTTTACTTGGCTTACCATACATACAGTTAATTTTCTTGCTTAGTTTTCATAAATGATTTAAAAATCTATCCCCACCCCCTGCCTCTTATCCCCAGCTCATGACTGAGATAGACTTAAGTCATACGTAGCTGGTAAGGACTTTTGAATTGTGTTGATGCGCACGCACAATCACTGAACCGAATGTTATACCAGCAACTTCCCACCCCTGGAAAGGGTACAGAAAAGGTCATGCTGGCATTATTGTGTGCCTGCTCAAGGATGGAGACCAAACAAGTTGAAGAGCACGTCAACTCATTAAAGTGGAGAAAAGTCCTGAGACTTATGAGTTTTCCTTCAAGGAAGACTCAGTTCATACATCATGTAGGATTTGTTCAGGCTGCCTGAAGATCTTGGCCTAATTTGAAATCCTCCAAAGTTCCATGTTTACTCACGCTGTTCTTTCCATTCATGGTCTTCCTTCTCACTGCATTTGCTGCATTGGTGGGCCGCCTTGAGACTCATGTATAGCTCCTGAGCTCTGAGTTCCTCCTGCTTTCGAATCTGCTCTTCCCCTCTTTTCCTTTCTTCTTCTTCTTTTCTCTAAAAATAAAAGGAGAACATGAAATTTGAGGAGGGGGAGAGAAGCACATGAAGAAGTTTCCTGTCCCAGCTTGGGTGTTTAGGAAAGAAAGGCTCTTGATGCCATTCGCAGCTAATAGAATAGAATAGAATTCTTCACTGGCCAAGTGTGCTTGGACACACAAGGAATTTGTCTTGGTGCAAATGCTCTCAGTGTACATAAAAGAAAAGATACATTTGTCAAGAGTCAAGAATCATAAGGTACAACACTTAATAATAGTCAAAGGGTACAGGTGAAATTCAAAAAATTAGAATATCGTGAAAAAGTTCATTTATTTCAGTAATGCAACTTAAAAGGTGAACCTAATATATGAGATAGACTCATTACATGCAAAGCAAGATAGTTCAAACCGTGATTTGTCATAATTGAGATGATTGTGGCTTACAGCTCATGAAAACCCCAAATCCACAAGCTCAGAAAATTAGAATATTGTGAAAAGGTTCAATATTCTAGGTTCAAAGTGTCCCACTCTAATCAGCTAATTAAGCCATAACACCTGCAAAGGGTTCCTGAGCCTTTAAATGGTCTCTCAGTCTGGTTCAGTAGGAAGCACAATCATGGGAAAGACTGCTGACCTGACAGTTGTGCAGAAAACTATCACTGACATCCTCCATAAGGGGGAAAAGCCTCAAAAGGTAATTGCAAAAGAAGCTGGATGTTCCCAAAGTGCTGTATCAAAGCACATTAATAGAAAGTTATGTGGAAGGGAAAAGTGTGGAAAAAAAGGGTGCACAAGCAGCAATGATGATCGCACCCTGAGAGAATTGTCAGGAAAAGGCCATTCAAAAGTGTTGGGGACTTTCACAAAGAGTGGACTGAGGTTGGAGTCATTGCATCAAGAGCCACCACACACAGACGGATCCTGGACATGGGCTTCAAATGTCATATTCCTCTTATCAAGCCGCTCCTGACCAACAAACAATGTCAGAAGCATCTTACCTGGGCTAAAGAAAACAGAACTGGTCTGTTGCTCAGTGGTCCAAAGTCCTCTTTTCTGGTGAGAGCAACTTTTGCATCTCATTTGGCAACCAAGGACCCAGAGTCTGGAGGAAGAATGGAGTGGCACACACTGCAAGATGCTTGAAGTCCAGTGTGAAGTTTCCACACTCTGTGTTGATTTAGGGAGCCATGTCATCTGCTGGTGTTGGTCCACTGTGCTTCATTAAGTCCAGGGTCAACACATCCATCTACCAGGAGATTTTGGAGCACTTCATGCTTCCCTCCGCAGATGAGCTTTATGGAGATGCTGACTTCATTTTCCAACAGGACTTGGCATCTGTCCACACTGCCAAAAGCATCAAAACCTGGTTCAATGACCGTGGGATTACTGTGCTTGATTGGCCAGCAAACTCGCCTGACCTGAACCCCATAGAGGATCTATGGGGCATTGCCAAGAGAAAGATGAGAGACATGAGACCGAACAATGCAGAAGAGCTGAAGGCCACTATTGGAGCATCCTGGTCTTCCATAACACCTCAGCAGTGCCACAGGCTGATAGCTTCCATGCCATGCCGCATTGAGGCAGCAATTGCTGCAAAAGGGGCCCAAACCAAGTACTGAGTACATATGCATTCTTATACTTTTCAGAGGTCTGATATTGTTCTATGTACAATCCTTGTTTTATTGATTGCATGTAATATTCTAATCTTCTGAGATTGTGGATTTGGGGTTTTCATGAGCTGTAAGCCATAAATATTACAATTATGACAAATCATGGCTTGAACTATCTTGTTTTGCATGTAATGAGTCTATCTCATATATTAGGTTCACCGTTTAAGTTGGACTACTGAAATAAATGAACTTTTCAACAATATTCTATTTTTTTGAGTTTCACCTATACAATATGCAATCAAATCATACTAGGAAACAGTCAATATAAATCATAAGGATACAAGTGACAAAGTTACAGTCATATAGTCACAAGTGGGAGGGGATGAGCAACAAGGAGTGATGAGAAGATTAATAGAAATTGCAGTGCAAAATTTGTCATAGTCAGACAGTGTTAAGGGAATTATTTGTTTAGCACAGTGATGGTGTTTGGAAAAAACTGTCCATGTGTCGAGTTGTTCTGATGTGCAGTGCTCTATAGCATCATTTTGAGGGAAGGAGCTGAAACAGTTCATGTCCAGGATGTGGGGGGCCTGTAGATATTTTCATAGCCCTCTTTTTGATTCATGCAGTATACAGGTCCTCCATGGAAGGTAGGTTGGTAGTAATTGTTTTTTCTGCAGTCCTAATTATCCTCCGAATTCTGTGTCTGTCCTGTTGGGTTGCAGAACCAAACCAGACAGTTATAGAGGTGCAGATGACAGGCACAATAATTACCAAAGTAGGGAACATCATCTGTGCTTGGAATAGGGTTACTAACACTGATGATGTTCCCTACTCTAGTAAGGAAACATCTGCAAAAAAGCAACCAAGCTCAGAGAGCACCAGGGACCTCACAGTTGAATCCTGAGCTACAAATATTATCTTCTATTTATCTAGGCCAGAGGTGTCAAACTCACGTCATCACATGGCATCACATGATCTATTGGGACTTTCCCCCTCTTCATTAAACCAGACATGGGCATGGCCAGTATATGGTACATCCGGCCTGTGGCCCTGGAGTTTTACAGCCCTGATCTAGACTATCTTTGGTGGGTATAATATTAAGAATATACCTTAACTCTTTTCATGTTTTTCCCCATAATGTTCTCTAATAACCAGTTACCCAGAAGGCAACCAATGGACCTGGTGCAGATACAGAAGCTTCCCTGGAGACTGGGAAAATCACTTTGATCCATGAACTCTGTTTATGATAGCTTGCTTCATTGCACTTTGGCAAATATGTGTAGTGGGAGTAGGAAGTCTCTGAACATTTACTATCTTTCAGAAGGTTCTCCATGACCTTTAAGAGGCCAGCCAGGCTCCCGTGGCTTGATGGTTCAGAGGCCAACGCTATTTTTAAAGGAACGAGTAGTTAAGGAATATTGGCATTTCTTGTTTGCAAGAAGGAAAGAGTGCAGAAGTGTTCTTTCAAGTGTAAATAAAAAAGGACAGGTGTCCTGGGTTGCAGAAAGATAACGTGCTCAGAGACACTGGAGCAAACGACCTTCAAAATGCTTTTTGTCCATTGACATTTCAAACATGAGCGGTAGGAAGGGTAGCAATTTGCTAATTACAAACATTTATCATACGCAAGGGGATGCAACGTTGGGAAAGGGGTGCTTTGGCCAGAAATCAAGAGGCTTTGCCAAGTGTGTGAAAAATGGTATAAGGCTAACATTTCTTTAAGCTGCAGCAGGTTTGCTATCACTAAAAAAAGCCATAAGCCTTGCTATTTGTAGTAGCTGCGAAATTGGGAGATTTAAAAAAAAAAAATTATCCAGAGAGTTTGGTGCATAAAGACTGCCATGATTAATAGATCTCTGCAGTGTTTCTGTTTTTAAGGAAGGGTTTTCCTCCTCTCATTTTTTTTAAATACTCCAAGCTCTTTATTACTTTTTACCCCTGGAATTATAAATGGAGCCCCAGCTATGGTATGAAAGATAAACTCAGCCTGGAGAATTTTGGATGAAGATCTTCCTTGCGCTTGGAGAACAGCCCAGAAATCTGCCTTCCAAACATAACCTCCCACCTGCAGACAGCTGCAGAGCCCAGGAATGAGATCATTCTTGGTCAAGAGAGAGCGGCAAGCATCTTTATTCCATTCCTCTCTTTACTCTTGAAAGCATATGGGGCAGGGTGTAGCCAGCCTTGGGACTGTGAAAAACTGTTCATGTTCAAAATATTTCCAGTTCAAAGCACACCGTTCTGATCTTACTTTCCAGCGTTGAAACAAGGCGGTGTAAGCATAAAACGATTTGTTTCATAGAACATAGGATGACAGTCGGAAGGGACCTTGGGCTGGACTTAGATCTGTTGTGGGCATGCAGGAACTCGAGACTGATGATGCATTTGACTCCTCCCTCAGGCTCAGCTCCTTTTTTCCCGAGAGCTCAGGGCAACTTACTTGGAGGTCTTCTAGTCCAATCCACTTCTCAAACAGAAGACCCTACACCAAATGCCTCCAGTGATGTAATACCCCCAACTTCTGGAGGGAAGTTGTTCCACTGGTTAATTGTTCGTTATTTCTAGGTTGCTTCTCTCCTTGGTTAATTCCCATCCATTGCTTCTTATCCTGCCTTATGGTGCTTTGGAAAATAGGTTGACCCTCCTCTTCTTTGTAGGAGTCCTTCAAATATTGGAAGACTGCTATACTGTCACTCCTGGTCCTTCTTTTCATTCAACTAGACATACTCAATTCCTGCAACCATTCATCATATGTTTCAGCCTAATCATCTTTGTTGCTCTTTTCTGCATTTTGCTGGAGTCTCAAGATCCTTTTTATATTGTGGTGACCAAAATTGGATGTAAAAGTTTTTGATCCTGCTATTTAACATGGAAATTCTGTCGCTTGATTGTAGTGGGCGGGAAAAATCTCTGATTAAATGTGTAAAAATGAATAAATAGAATGTCCAAGTTACCATTTGTTCTGGCCTGTCATTTAGATGTCAGCGCTTTCAATATTACTTACAATCTTCCTAATTAATGCTTGGAAAAAATGAGAAAAAGTGTCCTGGGTTTGGGATTGCAATGTTTTTGTGTTGGTTGAACGATATGCCCATTGCGCTGCTCAGTTTAAAAATACAATTCTTTAATCATTTTCATCAGAATTGTAGTAAAGCCCACGTCAACTCATAAAATATTTCTCTGGTCTTTTAGAGTTGCCAACAGAAAGGGAGGGGGGAGCAATGCTGCAGCTTGGAAATTGAAAGTGCATTCCATAAATAGTTTTCAAAGATAGTAACTAGGTGACAAAAGTTTCTGCCATGCAAAATTCTAACTGGAGAGCCTGATTGATGACTCTGGGCTATGGATGTGTCCCATTGGAGAATATGAATTATGATGTACCCAGGGGTGGGGTGGGGGAAAACCA